GAGATCGCATCGCTGAAAAGCGCCGACCTGTCGGAGAAGGCGCGCGCACGCGCGATGGCCGACCGTGCCATGATCGTCGGCACGCGCGCGCTGAGCGAGAGCAGCAAGGGCCGCGTGACGGCCGTGATCGTCCAGTGCATCGGCACAACCCACACGCCAGATGGTTGGCACAACTTGTTTGCGCAGGTGACAGAGGCCATCGGCAACAATATCAAGGCCGTGTCATGGGCTTCCCACGGGCATCGGACGATCGGGCGTTGCGACCAAATCGGCGAGCTGAGCAGCGAGCCGCGGTGGGAGGCCGCCTACCGCGACGAGCCCCCAGCACTGGTTGACCTCCGCACAGATGAACCAGAGTTCGCTCGGAGCTCCAACCGCAGCTATAGACGCGGAGACTTCGCCTTCGGCACCATCGCCACGTGCAGGGCCTGGAAGCTCAGTTGCGCCACCAGGCCCCGCAGCTGGCGGGCAGGTGCTGATCGCGCTGAGCCTTTTCGGCGGACAGCTGGCTGCTGCGCTATCGCCAACGCGGCGATGTCTGCATGGCCGCCCGCGCCGACAGCGGCGCGCGAGGAGCTGGGGCCTCCGCGAACCGCGCCCCCGCCGCGCGAGGGGCCGCCCCTTGCGGCGGCGATGCCCTCAGCGGCCACGCTCAAGGAGGTCGCGGCTGCAGGGGTTGCACACCTGAGCGACGAGGATGGCAAGCTCCGCGGGCCCCTGGCCGACAAGGCCAAGGCGGCTGCCGCGGCGCGGAAGCGCCCCGCGGCGGCTGAGGCCGTCGAGCACGCCGACGGCGACAGCGAGGACGCCGACGACGGTGCAAAGCTGCCAGCCATGCAGAAGACAAAGTGCATCCCCATTAAACACACGCAGGCCAGGAAGCGGCCCGCCGATGCCGTGCCGACGCCCAAAGTGCTGCCAAAGCTGCCGAAGGGCCACGGCAGCGCGCCGCGCAGGAGCGGCCACGTGTGCACCCAGCCCGCCGAGCACGCGTCCAGGGCCTTGGTGGGGCGGGCGGACAGGCGCACCCGCTGGGGCCGCGATCTGAATCGCGCAGATGCGTGGGGCGAAGCGCACGCGTGGATCGGCGCCAAGTCTTAGATGGCCAACTGGCAGGGGGGACGGGGGTGATGATGGGGAGGAGGGGGTGAGGACCACGACTCGCGTGGGATAGGTTCTCTCTGCAGCGGCGCACTCGCGCATGCTAGTCTGCGCGCGGCTGCATGGCAGTTTACACCTCATATGTACATCTCTCTCTCTCTCTTGCGATCTCTCGTCTCACGTCATATGCATCACTATGCATCGTGCCTTTCGTTGCGATCTACCGTCGCACACCGCATGCGCAATTATGCAGCATGCCATTTCGTCGCGATCCACCGTCGCACGCCACATGCGTTATTATGCAACATGCCCTTCCGCCCATTGCAGTCTTCCGTCCATTGCAACCCATCGTCGCGCGCCGCATGCCTTAATATCCAGCATACCCTTTGTGTTGCGATCCGTCGTCGCACGTCGCATGCGTCATGATGCATGCTGATGTCTCGATCGGGTCCATAGCCATTTGGGTTCAAACATTGGCCTCGTCTGTCTCGAGGCGCCGCAGGGCGGACGAGGCCCTGGTGGAACTCCACAGGGGCTCATACCTGTCACAGCGCGCGCGCCCGGACGTGCTCAAGCACGTGCGCGACCATGGCCTGTCCGACAACATTTCGCTCCGTTCACAATGCAGAGCCAACGGAAGGATTGCCGTCGACACAACGCACGTGCGTGGGAAGGCCCTGCGTAACATAGGCACGCCAGTTGAGGACGGTCGCACGTTTGGAGATTTGGCGTGCAGTTGTGGGCCTTGTTTGTTTTCGTGCTGCAAGAAGAGCTATCCATTCAGGGGGTTGCTGCGCCGCTCACTGCAAGCGCGCCCGTGCTCTGTGGCAACACCATGGCATTTTGTTTTATGTTTCGGCGGCATCATGCCGCTGGGCCCCCCCTCGCGAAGGGCATTGATTATCTGGGGTCGGTGCTGCGCATTGGAGCTTCGCTGAATTTGATGTTTCCATATCTGACGAGGGCGCGCGGTTCGCGCTGAGCGCCGCGCGGCGTGCCAAGATAAAAGATACACCAGGTGGGATTGGGCAATCTACCTATGTGATAATCAATGAGATGTTTTGTTAAACGGGGCGGGTGGCGTTTACGTTGAAATAAGCGGCTTTGCGTTGGACGCGTCGGCTGGCGGCGACGCTGTCGCGCGCGACGATCGTCGCGAAGGAGGGAATTGCATATGAATATGTGGCACGCTAACCTAACGCCTTGCGCATTGTGCCGGAACGTTCCCAACGACAAGTTCAATGACGCTGCGCGCGATGCATCGGGCATGCATGTATCAGACACATGCCTAGACAGGTACAAGTTCCTCAGAAATGGCGACGTGACCATCCACGCGATCCTTGAGCTGGTTCGCCCCGAGTGGGAGAAGCGCCAGAGAGGCGAATACTCGGTGGGGCAGAGCACGGCCGTCACCCAGCTCAAGGTTTTGAGTTTCCACCCTGAGCACATAGCATTCGACCTAGCTCTAAGGTGCGCGGTTGCATCCTACCTGTGTTTCGACCGGGTGCACTCTAATTTTATTGGGGATGTTTTGTTCGACCGCGAAGCGAGCGCAATGCTAGGGCATGCGGTTTTCAATAAATTGTGCAATGCAACTGGCATGCGTGAGTGTTTCATCAAGTCAACAAGACCCAGTAAGTATAATTCGGCAGCCAACGCATAGGAGACAGGTGATATCCAGGCGGGTGTTTCAGAAGAGCTCTCTTCATTACTTGTGCTGTGTAGATACATTCGGCAAGCCATTGCCAGGCTGTCTGCAGCCGACACAGTGGCTTACCAGATATCTAGCATGCTGGCATTGCAAGTTGCCAATGATGCGATGGTCACGGCTACGCGGTGTCTTCCTTGCACTACCGCGCAGATCGAGGCATCTGTGTTGAAGCAGCTTCGCTGCCATCTGCATGCCTGTGGTGAACGGTATTGGGTTTGCAAACACCGCATGTCTACCATTTCGCAGACATGTTTGAACGGCGTGGGGGGCTGCGCTGTTTCGCTCAGGAACGCACGCGCAAGTTTGTCAAACGTTTCGCGAAATATCACATGTGCAAGAAAAGGCCACAGGAGGCCTTAATGGTGCAACTCACGGCGCAGCACGCTCGCGACTTGAAGACCACGCGCATATCAGATGGTATGCATGACGCCACCAAAGCAACGCAGAAGTCGCTGAATGCGTTGAAACGCATGCGTCCTGGTACGCAGTCTGCCGTTTCAAGTGTAGAAGCCCACACAGGGTATGGGCGTTTCAAGCGAGGTGGTCTCGTTCTTATGAGGTCTTGCAGCGGTCACTCAGCGGTCCACGTTTGGTTGCACGTGGTGTGCGACGACGACGAGCCGCACGTGCTAGTGCAGAGGTTGCTAACTAATCATGTCGATGCTACCGATGGCGTTTCAAGGCATGCCCCCGTCGAAGGCCCAGTCCCTGTGTTAATAACTGACCGCGCGTTGGAATTTATAGTGGGTTACAAAAAATCGAAGACGACAACACGTGCATTTGGCCAATTGAATATATAATGCGGTGCTGCTCGTATATGTTATGCGAGCCGTCGGTTGCCTTTTCTGACGAAAGAAGTACACGGCATGCCATGTGAGAAGATATCAGATCGTTGCGCAACCCACTCAGAGGCCCCAGGTTTGAAATTGATGTAGTGCAAAATCACAATTTAAGCAACCAGCAAAACAAACTTGCACTGTTATAACTAGCTTAGTAGTTAGTTACAACTTCCGCTAACACTTACTAAGTAACCAGATCCTTCATGTTGAGGACGTAGTCGGCCTAGCTCAGGGGGGGCTCCAGCAAGGGAGGGGGTGGCCTTCAGGGAGACATCCCGAAGGGTCTGCCCCCCAGGCGCCCACCACATTCCAAGCGGCGTTTACCTCGTTACCCGCCGCGCCGCGACCGCGAAGGGGGACCGGGAGGGAGCGGGCAGGAACTGGCGCCCCTGAGCGCCGACAGGCGCCCTTCCCCGCCGCCCCCCGCCCCCCTCCCCCGGAGGAACCCCCCTCGGCCTCCTGGAAGGAACCCCCGTTCACCCCGGGGGCCTTAAGAAGGCGGGGCGAGGAAGGGAGGCACACCACCTATTGCATCTGGCGTAGGGGTGCGACACTTTCGGGGCGCAAGTAGGCCCGCGAGCCGGGGGGAAGGACCTTTAGTGGCTCTTGCGAGGTCACGGGGAATTCGCCCAGGCCGAAGTCAGCGCGGGGGAGTGGCCCCTGGCCCTGACCGACCAGAGAGCGTACGCCTTCGGAGCCGGGGCGTTCGGGAAGAGCCCCAGCGGACCCAGCGATGCCGGGTCCCTGGAGGTGGCCGACTTTTGAGCCCCCCCGTCAAAATCTATGTAACAGCATTGATTGCTCCACGTGGGTTGCACCACATACATTGTGCCAAATGGGGGTGTACCACATGTATTGCACCACGTAGGTAGCACAACATCCATGCAGTATTTAGAGTGTGGGATATCACACATATCGCACCACATAGATCATTACAAGCACCTTTTTCGGGCTCGCGCTGGTTAGCTGTTTCAAGTGGGACGTGTGTTCCCCTGGGGTCTTAAATTTTGTATCGGGCTCGACTTTCGAGCTCGGTTCTGCGCGAGCACGCTGAAGAGAAGGACACATAAGTACACATGCAGAGAGAAGGCAAGACATCAATGGAGCACCAAGAGTGACAACCTGAACCTATGAACAACACAATTATCAGCAACACAACATCGCAACACAAACTAAGAATTCACCTTCACGGGAAAGAAAGGAGAGGGAGGGAGGGATGGGGGAGGGAGGAGGGGAAGGATCAGGGAGCGGGGGTGGGGTGGGGTGGGGTGGAGGTGGGAGGGAGGGCAAGGCGGGAGGGAGGAGGGGCAGGGACTCAGGACATGGGGGAGGGGATGGATGCGGCAGAGGACGCGTCGCTCCTGCAGCACCCGCGCGTCCTCGCCGTCGGGCGCCACCGAGGGGCGGCCCAGGGGAAGAACGCCACCTGCTTCATCTCGATGTGCGGGTGCCCAGCGGACGGAGCCATGACGGTCTTCGGGCGTTGCGTGGTGGCGGGGGCGAGGACGACGACAATTGCCTCCCGCTGGGTGTTCCTCCACTTTTCCCCCTCTGCGCGGGGGGGGGGAGAAGGGTCCACCTGAAGGGCCCTGAAAGAGTCCTCTGGGGCCCGCACGAAAGAACGAATCATCGGTGTGAACAAGTGTCCAAGCCTTGTGAGACCTGGTGTGTGAGGCCTTCGCCTCGAGATACTGTAGAGTGTGTGTGTGTGTGTGTGCTGAGGTAGTGCGCGCGAGACGTGTACAAAACTGTGTAGGCCAAGGAGGAGGAAGAGGAGGACACCCCGTAGTCGATGTCGTCGTGTGTTGTGGGTGTCGCGTCGTTGGGTGTGACACGAAGGGTGCGCGTTTCTTCGCACTCCCTCTCCCCATTTAGCACAGCTCAAGGTCTACCCGAACCAGACCGCGGACCCTGGCCGCGCGCGCGAGGGGGGTGGCGCGAGGGGGGCGGCCTCCTGAGAAGGTGGGGCCGGGGCGGGGCGGGGGCTCCTTGGAAGGCAGGGCCCCCCTTACATGGGGCTGGAGGCCTCTGGGAGGGCGGTCCTAGAATAAAGCAGTGGCGAAGCGTCCTGGCTCGCCTATAGCCCCATCAAACAATGTTCTGAGAACCTGTTTTGGTTTCCACGAAATGTTCTTAGAACATTTCTGGCGGAGCCTGTCTTGTTTTATCACATCGGGCTTATGTTCTAAGAACATTGCTTTTGTTCTTAGAACCTCTTGGGGTTCTAATAACATTTCGTGGTAGGACTATAAGAATGCCAGGACGGTCGGTCCCTGCTCAATACATGGGGCTGGAGGCATCTGCGAGGGCGGTCCCAGAAGCTGGGAGGACTTCTCAGAAGACCGCAGGCTCCCTCTTGCATAGGGCCGGAGGCCTCTAGGAAGGCCGTCGTAGAAGCCGGGAGGGCTTCTCAAGAGACCGTTGCCTTCTCAGAAGGCCGTCCCCCTCGCGCCAACCAATCCCTGTTGCGCGCCGCCAAGGACTGGCAGTGCACCTACGAGCGCGGCGCGATCCCCAACGCGTGGTGCAACCAGGCGGATGGGCAGTGCGGGCGCTGCAACGGCGTCTGGTGCTGGGGAGACCAGAACCTCGGAGGAGGAAAAGATACCCATATTGCTACCTTTTCCTAGTTTTTCTCTTCTTGGGCCTCCTGGGTGGCCCTCGTCGCCACCGCTGGATTCGCCTCGAAATTTTGGTCAGAACGCACCCTGGGAGAGCTCTGGGGAGTAGCGGTATCGAAACCTTTGGGTCTTCCTAGAGCCAGGACTTCTCCCGGGATGCGTACTGACTACAGTTCCGAGGCGAACCCGGCCATGGCGACGAGGGCCCCCAAGGAGGCCCAAAGCGGCGAGTACAAGGGCAGGGTGGCGGTAGTGGTGCCCATTCCTCCTCTTGAGGTGCGGCTCCGCGGGTGCCGCTCAGGACTAGGCGGCCCGCTCCGTGTCGGGGACCGCCCTCACCGAGTCCGCGGACCATCGAACGCGGGAGCCGGATGCGCGAACAAGGCAGGTTTAGCCGTTGTGGACCTCCGAAAACTCTTTGATCGGGCCTCTGAGATTTTCCCGCCTTGACAACTGAGAGAAAGTCAGGATGAACAACTCCGCAGGATGGTCCCAGACCTCCGGCGCACGGTGTCCTCGACAACGTCGATTTTTGGAGGTCTCGACCCCGCCATGACTCCCGCCATTATTTCTCTGAGGCGCAAAGTCCCCCCCCCCACCACACACACACACACACTTCACTTTTTCGCACCGTGTGTGGTGCATTTCCGACACAGAGCTGAGTCGGAATATCTACTAAAGCACGGCGGATCCGCCCGGACCGTGTTTCGGCGGTCCGCGGTCGGACGTTTCCTATTGGAGGGGCGACACATGGTGGGGGGGAGAATCGTGCACCTTTCGCACCCATTTCGGGCCAACCGGGGCCCCTTTAGGCCATAAAAGGTGCACGTTTGTTCACCCCCCATGTAATTGCCCTCCTCATTACTCAAGGAAGCGCAAGCATGGATTAGCGACGCACGGATCAGCGACGGACCATGTTTCAGTTGGCGTCAGCGCCCGACGCGGAGCGCCGCCCGAACGCGGAAACCGCCATACCTGAATTGGCGCGGCTGCGGTGCCCCCGCGCGGTGGTGCGGCCGGGCGGAGGAGCAGCGCGGGGCTCTGCAGCGGTCATTCGGCATTCGGATCGTCGGCGCCCCATGCGCAGCAAAGCCCGACGCACCCGAGGCCGCCGAGGCCTCTGGCCTCGAGGAGAACCAGGAGGGAGGAGGGAAAGGAGGGGGAGGAGGAGGAGCAGGAGGAGGAGTAGGAGGAGGAGGAGGAGGAGGAGGAGGAGGAGGAGGAGGAGGAGGGGGAGGAGGAGGAGGAGGGGGAGGAGGAGGGGGAGGAGGGGGAGGAGGAGGAGGAGGAGGAGGAGGAGGAGGAAGAGGAGGAGTGAGTGGGAAATGAGCGCGCTGGGATGTTTCACATGGAGGGGGCAAGAAGGGTAGGGGGAGCCAGGAGGAGGAGGAGGAGGAGGAAGAGGAGGAGGAGGACGAGGAGGACGAGGAGGACGATGACGATAACGATGATGATGGCGATAACTGCGACAATGACGATGACGATGATGATGATGATGATGGCGATAATGATGATGCTGATGATACTGACGATGGTGCTGATGATGATGGTGGTGGTGATGACGCTGATGCTCATGATGCTGATGATGATGATGATGATGATGATGATGATGATGAAGATGGGGATGCTGATGATGATGATGATGATGATGATGATGATGATCATCGTCATCATGGTAGTGATGATGACGATTGTGATGGTGGTGTGTATGATGATGCTGATGATGATCATGCTGCTGATGATGATGATGATGATGGTGATGCTGCCGATGGTGATGATGTTGATGATGATGATGGTGATAATGCTAATTATGATGCTGATGCTAATGATGTTGATGACGGTGGTGATGCAGTTGATGCTGCTGATGATGGTGACAGTGATGATGGTGATGCTGACATGATGACGATGACGATGACGATGACCGTGATGATATTAATGATGATGCTGATGATGATGGTGAGTATGATGGTGATGATGATGGTGATTACGATTGCGATGATGATGATGCTGATGATGATGATGATGATGATGATGATGATGATGATGATGGTGATGGCGATGCTGACTCTGACGGTGATGGCGATCGTAGTGATGGTCATGGCCATGGAGATGGCGATGGCCATTGTGATGGTGAAGGTGGTGATGATGATGACTATGACGAGGATGATGCTGATGCTGGTGCTGGTGATGGTGGTGGTGATGATGCTGATGCTGATGATGAGGAGCAGGAGGAGGAGGAGGAGGAGGAGGAGGAGGAGGAGGAGGAGGAGGAGGAGGAGGGGGAGAGGAGGCGGTCCCAGGCGCGCACGGGCACCGGCCCTGGGCGGCGCGGGCCCGGAGGGGGTCGGGGCAGGGGACCTCTGTGGGGTGACCGCGCTGCCCAGCCCGTTCCACTGAGCCGCCCCGTCGGGGCGGAAGCAGGCGGGGGCCGAGGGCCGTGCCGCACCCGCCGACGCAGCCGGCGATTTTCGCGGCCCCGGCGTTGCCGAGGCATCGCCGATGGATCTGCGATGCGGCGCGGTCTTCCGACCCCAGCTGCTCTGGCCCTCTTCTGGGCGGCACCCGCTGCGGTGGTGGCGGTCCTCAACAGCCGTAGAGCAGTCCAAGTCTTGCCTCACCCATGTTCCTCATCAGCGTCCTTCCTCTCCCTACTTTCACAGGAGAAAAACTGCATGAGCACAAACTGTTGGAGTCCCGCACGGATTTCTTGGATCTGCGCTGGACCCCCTGGCGCGCGTTCGGTGCCGCCCCTGGCGCACTCTGCGTGCCAGGAAGGGGCGTCCAGCTCAGATCCAAGAAATCCGCGCGAAGTCCCGGAAGCTAAGCGTTATGCAGTTCTTCGTTCCTCCATGACTCTCACGCACGTACCCCCAACAGAACGACATCTGAGTTCGTTGCCGATTCCGAGGGCATGGGGAGCGCACCCTTGTTCCTCGTGCCTCGTCCTCCTCCTTCCCCTCCTCCTCGTTCCTCCTCGTCGTCCATCAGTGCTCAGGGGTCTCGCAGTAGCCCGCTGTGCGCCAGGCACCACTGGCCCTCGCCGAGGACAAAGATCCTCATCATCTCTCCCGCGTCCGCCGCGATCCCTTTCAGTTTGGGTCCCCTGAAGTTCCGACCCTCTGCCCAGGCCAGGGCTGTCCTTTCCTCACAGCTCCCACCGAAAACCATCATCCTCATCATCTCCTCCTGCGTCGCTCGATTTCTTTCAATGCGGGCCCCCTGAAATTCCGACCCTTTGCCCGGGACCTGTTTCTCTTCACGGCCCCCACCGAGAGCACGAATCCTTATCATTTCTCCTGCGTCTGCCCCGATTCCTTTCAATGTGGGTTCCCTGAAATTCCGACCCTTTGCCCGGGGCCGTCTTTCTTTTGAGGCCCTCACCGAGAACACGAATCCTCATTCTCTCTCCTGCGTCCGCCTCGAGTTCTTTCAATGTGGCCCCTCCGACGTTCCGACCCGAATCGTCTCTCTGGACGGCCCGGGGGCCCAAGGGGGGCACCTGGAGGCCAGAAATGTCAAACCAGTGTTGGCTTGCTTTCGACGGCCCTCGCAACAGTGCAACATGCAAAAACGGATGCAGCCCTGCGCAGGGCATCTCTTTCCAGTCCGGCTGGCCAGTTGAGGACTTCGTTTTGTCTTGGAGTATGCGTTGGGAGATTTGGACGGTGCGACTGTTCATGATGTGGGGTGGCAGCCGGTTGAACACGCGTATCATGCTAAAGATGGACCGCGGCAGAGTAGTTGGGTGACTTGGTTCTGTAGGATCAGCCAGCGCAGTGCCGTGAAATGTCTTAACTGCTGCGCAAACAACAGACATTCAGACGGCCAACAGCTGTACGGAAGAGCGCCGAAAGAGGTGGAGGAGCAAGGCCTACAGCAATTTCGCATAGCAGCCCCTGTGCACCAATAGTCCGACGCATGCATAAGAGAACAAGATGATGATCCCGCAACTTTGTCTCTGCCGATCCGCCAGTCTCGTCTCACAACCAAGATTGCAAAGTGTCGAACATATTCAGGATGCTCTGTTTGGCGTCATAGAAAGCTTGAGTGGGGACCTCGAGATAACACAGAACGTGCCGTTTGTAATATAGCCATCCCTTTGACGCAATAGAAATGCCCTGTCCAGAGGGATGTTCTTAGGCGCCAGCCCGCTTCTGTGGCAACGTTCTGCAGCGCTAAATCCACTTCCGCACGTGGATCAAACATAGCATCGAGTATTTTTAAGGATCTGCCATTCGGGCACCTCGTACCTAGGATACGCATGGATTTCTCTTGGACACCTCGAGCAGTACCTGAGTTGCAGATCCCCACGAATGCAATGTAGATTGGCATGCGTCAAGATTGCTTCGAGGAGACCCAGAAGTGCCATGGCCTCTCTCGCGTCAGAGTAGTACACGTTCCAGAAGGGTGGACCGAGCACAGTCCTCTGGAAGACCATGTTCTTAAACTCAGCAAGTTCTGAAAGCACGCTGTCAACGATACTATGAGCTGTTCTGGGCACACGCCAAGAAGAAGTGAACTTCAAGAACGTGTTGTCCATAGCTTTCGCTTCGAGTGTCTTCAGCAACCGTGCGTATTCGGTCGAAGGCGTCTGTAACATTCGAGGTTGGCCAGTCCCCACTTTCAATGTTAGGCGTATCATGCATGATAAAGGGAGCGCAATCTCATGGGCACACAGCATTTGGAGGCGAGCATAGATGGCATCTGGACCAGTACCAGAATCATCCCAGAATTTCCGTAGCACGGTTTGTACAGGAACGGGTGCGAATTCTGACATCAGTTGTTTTTTCGAGGTTGTTTTTTTCATGAATGATTGAATGAAGCCGCGTGTCCGTAGGCACATGAGCAATGGCACGAGCGTGCTCTAGACAGTTGACTTGCCCACCGCTGCTTTCCAGGCTTCCGCTGGAAACGTGTTCAAATCTGACAAACTTCAGCCCGAAATTCGACACATCTGTTGATCATGCTTCGACAATTATGTTTCCCACGCCTGCCAGAGCCTGCCCCTTCTCCCGCGGCCGGGTGCTTGCGACAGCTCAGAAGATGAAGGCTGGAAAACAAGCGTGCGGACAGGTCAGGCGTCGGCCTTGCGTGCGAGTCCCCCGAACAAGAGCAAGTGCCGCCGCAGCAAGAGGTCGCTGAGTTTGCCGCGACCAGCTCGCTGCAACACCGCGGCGGTGGTGATTCGACTGACATAAGAATGCTTGATGCCGACGAGTATTCGCAGGCACCGATGTTGAAAAACATTCAAGTTGGCCAATTTGTGCCGACGTAACCAAGATGTGTGGAGGCTGTTCAGAAGCGTCG